TATGATTATTCGGAACTTCAGAGTAGTTCATATTGCAATGTCTTATATCTGTAGCCATCTAGCAGACATGCATTACCAATATTTTTGAAAGTCATCATCATTCCTGGTGCAAATTCTGGCCAGGATCCTACAGGATCCTCTTAATAATATATAAAATATGAGCGGGAGACCTTTATGGGCATTTAAACTGTAAGCTGCAAGTGAGCAGTTTTATAGCCCACAAATGTCGGACGTGAATATTTTATATTGCTTATCAAATTCCAACATAAGGTAAAGCATATTTCAGAAAAAACTTCAGGATAAAATATCATTTGTAAGAGAAAATCGAAGTTAAAGTTGTATGCAAATCAGGACATCAAATCTCTTGCTCATATAAAGATGCGGTCACGGCAATGGTTTTCCATTGTGTTTACCTTATGAATTATTAATGAATTTGATAACTTTATTTAGGATCCTATTCCTACTTATGATCTTACATAAGAATGTGATCCTGTGTGAGATCTTACAGGACATATCCCTGAGTAGTATCTGCACCAGCAACCCTACCATCTCAACTGACTTCTCAGAATTCTTCTTAATGTTTGAATACAATCATTTCATCTATTGATAGTTGTTGCACAGGCAGTCCATTCAATCAGTGATTTACTCATTATATAAATATTGCACAGGCAGCCCATCAAATTACTATGTTGTTATTTCTATTTTTTTTTCTATAAATATTGCACAGGCAGCCCATCCAATTATTATGTAGTTATTTCTATTTTTTGATGGTTGTTGTTTTCACAAGGCTGGAGATGAGATCCTCTCTGTCAATAATTTGATTTTAAATGAAGCGACACATGAGGAGGTTGTCAATCTACTAAGATCAAGACGAGTATTGGTTTTAAAAGTTAAAAGTGAGTCCTGGATACTTTTTTATTCTATTCCAAGTCATTCATCCATCCATCCATCCATCCATCCCTCCATTCATTCATTCATTTATCCATTAACCCTACTCTTGCCAAGCTTTTGATGGGAGTCTCCCAGTAATGTCAAGTTTTGCATTCGGGAGGAAAAACACGGGTCCACATTTTCGGTACAAAATCATCGTTATTTTGATCATCAAAGCTCGATTCTTCCTCTGAATACTCAGAATTATCGCTAAAATATCGCTGCTTTCATCGCCGTTTCTTTAATTTGGATCAGACATCTAAAAACTACATATTTTCAACTAATTTAGACAACAAGAATCATGCGAAAATCCTCCATATTTATTAGAAAATCCGCGCGATTTGCTCGAAAACTCACCACAAAACGATCGATGTTTTCACTTCGGTTTGACTTCAAAAATACGATGCCTCGATTCCATGATGCTTTGTTAATATAAACAAAGCTTTTGATTCGTCGAGAAAACAAAAGAACATGGGTTTTTGACCAATCAAAAAGCGATGGCTCAAGTGGGCCGATCTAATCGGCTCTGGGCAAGACTAGGCATGTCGTGCGAGGCGATTAGATCGGCACTTGGCAGCATTAGGGTTTTAATCAATGTGCATTAAAAAAATTGTTAACTTATTTTTTTGCAGGTACAGGGAAAGTCCCTTGTAAAATGTAAGTTTATTTTCATTTCGTCTCTTTGTTTACCTGATTGAGTTTTTGGTTGGTTGATGTTAAATAGAGTACTTATGGGCGAGCAGTGATACGGATTTTATCTTCAAGTGTTGAAAAGATCTCTCACAAATGAGTGTAGGGACGATTGAGAGATTTTCAACTATAAAGAAGATAAAATTCATATCTACAAGTGACCATGTAATATTCTGTTATTAATCATATAATGGCATATGATTTAAGCAAATTATGTCAAAATATAGAGAAACCTGGAATGAACTTTATGAAATGGAGACATATTTTAATATGAACACAAAAATAATCATATTATAAATCTTTTTCTTTCAATTACAGACTTGATTGTATCAGATGGGAAGAAGTACAGGACAAAGAGAATGTCTACTATCACCCTGACCTACTGGTAAAA